TAAAAAAATAATTATGGCAAAGCATGAAGTTACTAAAGAAGTCAATCTTCGTCGAATTTTAACGGGTATTTTCAACTAGTACATCGTATTATTTATTTCACTATCATGACGATGATGAAAAAATTAAAACGAATGTTTTCGCTGGGAGTTCTATTATTCTTGCAGAAAGTGTAAGTTGCCAATTCATTTCAGATTTCTCACCTGGTAGACCATTTCGGAGATGCAACAGGAATTATTAAATCATCACATCATACAGAAAGCCCTCACTTGTATTATAAGTCAGGTAGTATTTTTAGGACGGGAGACAATGAGGAACTTATTACAACACGTAAACAAATCGCGTGCTGTCGCTAGATGTTTTGATGTTCGTATGGGAAAAGGCAGCCCGGGAACGAGGCCTTATTATTTCTGTCAGATTCAATTTTATTTTTTATGAAAGTTTTCCGCACAACTTCAGCAGAAGCTGAACAAGTTACATTGCAAGCCAAACTACAGAAGCTGGTTACAACCATTTGCTGCTGTCTTCCTTATGGTATCCAAGCCAGTTCTCAACAACATCACATAACCCCTCCCTCATAAGCGGTTCTTTTTATGGTCCATATGACAGAGCGCACTAGAAACAAAAGTGCAGAAAACAGAAAACAGCAGCAGCATCTGAAGAGGGAGACAGAACAGCACGAAGTTTTCCGGGCAATTCTCTGAAGGCAATGCAGAATGTCTTGCGCCTAGGGCCACTGATCGTTTACCAGACGAGCCCAGGCTCCATCGCCTTTATTTAAAATCAAGGCGTTTCCTTCAGTTATTCAGTCGTGTGGGCACAAACGGGTTTCCGATATCAGTGGGCCAGCGTTCGATTCCAGGCAGAAACAAAAGATTATTCTCCTAGCCTCTGCGTCGGTTCTGAGGTCTGGCCAGTGGATACCGGGGTCGAGTTTATGGGGGCGTGAAGCTGACCACTCACTTGCATCTAATGCCGAGGTCATGAAATAATGCATCTAAATCTCCACTCCCCCACGCGTCCTCATAACTTGGTGCTTAGAAAGTACCAGATATATATTTGTCTTCTAATTTTGAGGAAATTTATTACTTATCCATCGACATGTGGACAGGAACCTAGTTTCACGGAGCCGAGAATGAAGTTTCAGTTTTTTATTACAGAAAAACTACTTTTATGTGTGAGGGTTATGTACGTTGCAGAGTGAATGCCAACTGGGACTTACGACTTCAACTTTAATAATTATTTAAATGAGAATTTAGACGAATACAATTTAATACAGAAAATGCTCAAATGTTTACTACAATTAAATATTTACAGTATTTCGATTCCTTAGTTTGTCATTTTGAGAAACTAAGAACAATTTAATTTCAGTGCTCATTTTCCTGCAGAAAATTAAACTAATTTATCAAAACTTCCTGAAGCGGGTGCATCCTAAACCATATAGCCCGAAAGGCATTTCTTGCAAGCGAAGACCTGGTTGTTAGAGACTACATACAGGAAAACGGAATGAATGGATACCTTAAGGCCAGGGGAAAAGGGGCTTGAGGAAAGTTCTGTGACTGATATACGAAGAATATGCTTACGGAGAGACTACTTTTGAAAGACACTGTACCTGCAGTGTCAGACACAGACAAGCCCTTTTAAACATTCAAGGTAGCAACTGCCTCAACACAAATTTGCATGTGAAGAAACAAGGAAAAATGTTTACATTTCTTATAGTGCTGATAATAGATGTCAGGACAAGGCACGAGTTGTCGCAGTCGGGATGCACGGTGTGAGTGTGAGTGGGCCACCATGATATCCAGAGCTTAGCACGAGACTAAGCTGAACAGCAACTTTACGCCCATGGATACACGTTGGATAGGGAGACGTGTGAGGAATACAGTCGGTGTGGATCTGCTGACGGACAGAAAAGTTTTAACTAATTTAAATGAAGACCATCCATTATCTCAAATGATGCCATTTCCTACTTGTAGTCAGTCTTAGAAATTCACGTCATTGTTTCGCGTTTGGCAAAAATGTACAGTCAGATAAGACGCGGGATGTTTATACGGATGCTGAGTGACAAAGAATGGGAAGCTGCTATAGCAAATTCCAACGTCTGTGTCGGAGGAAAACTCTTCACATTCGATACGCAAACTTAGCCCCCGTTGGTACAGTCCCAGTAGAGTGATAATGTATTATAACTCACGTATATTTGAACAAACGCACATAAATGACTACAACGTCTGTACTCATGCAAGCGACACGAAATTTCATGCGTTGTAGAAGCCATCCAATCTTTTGTGAAAAAAGGAGAGTCGACGTCCCTTGTGTGCACTGCCTTCTTCTGAATACATACAAAAAGTACGTGGAACAATTTCTTAAAAGAATTAGCAAAGAACCGAACCAGACCTATTAAAAAAAATTTTAGATTAAATGAGAAGGAACAGCTCGTAAAAGGGAGAAGACAACAAAAAGGATCTTTGAAAGTAAGAAGCCACTATTTAATAATCGAGCAGAGCCATCTGACGTAATAAGCACTTTAAGAATGCTATAAACTTTAAGAATAGATACATTTCTTTTCTCGTCCTTAAATTATCCTCTCATTTCTTTCATATCGGTATGGTTGCGAAGAGAAAGACCCCCTACCCCTGACTTCGCCGGGAACCGAACCCCAGTCATTCAGTCAGTCACCTCTTAAGCCACTGATCTATCCCGGATTCTTCGCTTGTGTGTTCTCTTGTTAAGTAAATACAAGAAACTTCCGAATACTGACACATTTATGCGAACTGAGTTTGAATTACGTAAGCCATCTTCCACATCCTTTTCGCCAGATTTTCCATGCGCCTTCTCTTCATTAGCGCTGCTCGTTTTCAATATCCTGCATAAGTCAATATTTAAACATTAAATATTTAAACGATGTCTAAACAAATTCACGTCCAGTTTCAGCGTTTCCCTTTGGCCCCATATTAGTCTGCAGTTTCCTTCTACTTCATTTCTTGATCCATTTATCTGTTGGTACAAATTTCTCTCAGCATCTGTTCGCTGACAATTATATATTACATGGATCCCTATTTCAAGACTGTTTCCTTCCTAACGCAATTATTTGTTTTCGTTCTACAGATAATCAGTCTCCAGTATGTATAGAATTGTCTGTACATTTGTTAAATTTAGTGCCCTTATTAAATATTCGAATATAAAGATTATTAAAATGAATAGCAACAAAACAAACTGTTGGTGTAATGTTTTCTGACGAAAACTCTTTGATCTCAAATAAAACAAAAGTCTTCGCTTGTATATTATGTTCCTGGAAGAAACGAATTCTCATTCCAGTAAATAAAACCCCTAACTGGCGACCAAGGTAGACACTGTGCCGACCGGTAAGGCCTATCCCACACCACGACGACGATGGCAGATGTGCGTGGTACAAGGGTGAAGGATGAATGAAAAGGGAAGACAAAGTGCTCGAGGAGAAACCTGCCGGCACGTCACTTTGTCTACCACAAATACCACATGACACAGAGTAATTTCTGTAGATGATATTTTTCTTTTTCGCTCAACCAACTCCTTGCCCTTGATTTCGCACGCCACTGCAAAACAGACGCATTTCTGTGCAGGGAAGAAAAAGCCGAGGAAGAAACGGGATAGAATAAGCAACACTAAAAGTTATAATTGAGTTTTTGCAGATGCATTCAACAAGTTTTCTATGCATTTAATTATAACAACACACCCCATCCCACTTGTATGAGGGATCTTTAAACTCGTAGGAGCAATAGAACACAAGGGACACTGGGCTCCGGATAGGGAAAAGGACAGAAACTCCTCATTATCATTAATACGTAATAAGAGCTCAAACAGAATCAAAAGAAAATTTTCAATTCAATTTAATCTTCATTACCATCGTCATTATTCTGGAGAACTTTAAGAAACCGCTCCTCTAGAGATGAGGAAATCGTTACAGCGAAGTCCTTAACTTTTCTTACGTGTGCTGGGGCTCGATCACAAACTTGAAAATAACCTAACCTAACCCAACCATCACCTCCTCATTCCGAGCCGAATATTCGGTGAAATCGAGGAGTCGCGTCTGCATTTCCTGCTGCTAACTTCATCGCGCTTTAAGTGGGGCGATTGTCTAATTAAACTTTGCGATGTTGCAAGAATTCTAATTGTGACTTACCAGAATTATCTTGGGTTATTTATAAACGCTGTGTGTAGACTATATACTGCAAAAATGAAATTGGAAATACGATCACAGACACTGAGCAAGATCTGGAAATTTGGAGGCTTTAGTTAATCGCGGAGAACCTCAGACAGGACCTAACAAAACTCCAAGTCTAGAGCGTTAAATGCTATCCTCCAAGCGAACTCCTTCGTGAAGACTTCGCAACCAGCATTGCGTATTTATTCCTGGTATCCTTTATCCCAGATATAGGACTAGCCCATTCTATCTTCCCTGAAATAAGTCCCGTAACAGTTCGTGGTGACGTACAAATCACTAAGTTTCTAGATCTGTCGTAACATAAACTGCTCGCTTGTTTTGCCCTTCTTAGGTAAACACTTCTATGGGCATTTTGCTTTCAAGCACTTTTAATTTGTGTGCTAAATATCCGTACAAAATATTGTTTAATTCTTTATATCAGTACAAATTCGTAGAGACTGAAACTGCAGAAAAATGCATACCATCAACATATTTTAAATTAGTATGGCCTATAATTAAAAATGCTAACAGACCTGCACATTTCTATTAACATCTTATATACAGGCACGTAGCAGGTACCACAATTTCGTTATAAACTACCACACGTCTGTATACATAAATCGAAATTTAATAAACAAGCTCACGTTTATAGCTAACAGTAATCTATGACACGTAAATTTGTTTAAATCATGAATTCCTTTTGCGTAAATAATTGCTACTGTCGAGCGTGTTTTGTGATTAGCACACACCACATTCGGACACTATCTATAGAAACATTCCGTCTGGTGGTAAATTAAAAGATGCATTAATAATGGTGCTTACCGTGGTACTGATGATGATGATGACGGCGACGACAGCGACATAATTATTTCTGTAAAAAAAATGAAAGGCCGTCAACACAACAAGTTTTCTCCATTAACACAGCAGATTAAATATATTATTAAAATGGTAAAATATCCAAAATAACATTCAAAATTTTATTATATTACAGTCAGTAGTTACGCACTGAACTTTGTGGTATACAGTGATAAATAGAAGTATACGCAAATACTTATAGTTTATTAATACTGTAGTCAAAATAAGTATTTGTTGTATGCGTCCACATGTTAACCTACCTAGTCTTTCCTAATTCATCCACACTTCCATTCATTCCTTCTTCTACCCATTTATCCAATTTATTTAACCATCCTCGCCGTATGTCCAACCGTCCGAATTTTCCGATCCGTCGTTTAGTTTACTCATCCACCCACTCACAACAACAAATTGTAAAATACGTAACCGCCCGCCATCCATCAAACCTTCCTTCAATCTATCAGGTCAACCTAACCTAACCTATCAATGCATCCGAATGTCCAAGCTTTCTCAACCGATTTCTGTGTAAAGTTTCCAACTCTTTCGCCCGGATTACGAACAGGGCGAAAACGTGGGCGTACTTTATCACCTGTTTAATCGCTCACGCTGGTGCATTTCTTTAGTTGCGGGCAGTACACACGTCAGACTGAGACAGACAGCGAGATGGCTTGGACGCAAGGGTTTACAGACGTCAAATATTGATACGGGAAAAGGATAAAATGGCGGCTGGAGCTAAGAATGAAAGCTGAAAGAGTTCTGAAAGGTTCAAGGAACTTCCGCCCATGTTCAAAACCTTCGTGTATCCGCTATCTTGGTACACTCGCTCTAAGTGATTATACTTGTTACGTAATTTCTACAAATGAAATTTATTGCCAGAAAATGTGTTTCAAGGTTAACGATTCATTCTTAACGCCGAGATCAAATGATAAATTAAATTGAAACGCAAGTGAAGTAAAGAGACCAAGTCCTCCTTTAAGTTATTATCCTGGAATTTTCCCTCGCGGACACAGACGTGTAACATTTAATTCCTTACTCACGACGGACACGCCGTTACTCATATCA